TCAGTCATTTATAATGGGTTACTGAATGATTTATGGCCCTCATAAGCATAAGCCCACGTGAGTAGCCTGTGTTAGTAGCCTGGCTGTAAGTGCATCCGTAGGTGGTGTTACAGATGGGCATGGACCAAGGGTTCAAGACTCTCTAACAATCTCTTTGATTTGATTAACCATTTGGTGAAGCACCTGTTACCCCTTTACTATGTTTCCATAGACTCATAGAAATGTAGGACGGGAAGGAACCTCGAGAAGTCATTGAGTCCAGCCCCCTGCACTGTGGCAAGACCAAGTAAACCTGGACCATCCCTGACAGGGATTTGTCCAACTGGTTTTTAAAAGCTTCCAATGATGGGGATTCCACAACCCCCCTTGGAAGCCTGTTCCAGAGTTTTAACTACCCTTAGAGTTAGAAAGTTTTACCTAATATCTAACCTAAATCTCCCTTGCTGCAGATTAAGCCCATTACTACTTGTCCTCGCTCCAGTGCACCTGGAGAACAATTGATCACTGTCCTCTTTATAACAGCCTGTAACATATTGGAAGACTCTTACCAGGTCCCTCCTCAGTCTTCTTTTCTCAATCTAAACATGCCCAGTTTTTTTTCAACCTTTCCTCGTAGGGTCAGGTTTTCTAAACTTTTGATCATTTGTGTTGCTCTCCTCTGGACTCTCTGCAATTTGCCCACATCCTTCCTAAACTGTGCTGCCCAGAATTGGACACTGTACTCCAGCTGGGGCCTCACCAGTGCCGAGTAGAGCCGGGACAATTATCTGCTACGTCTTACATACAGCACTCCTGTTAATACACCCCAGAGTCGTATTAGCCTTTTTTGCAGCTGCATCACATTTAGGGTGACCAGACGTCTCGATTTTATCGGGACTGTCCCGATATTTGCTTGTTTGTCCCACGTCCTGACCGATGTGCGGTCGGGACACTGGACAAACAAGCAATTTTGCCCTCCTGGAAGGGCTCTCGCCCCACCCCCACCCTGCCTCCGCCCCCTCCTTCCCCCATTGGCTCCCTCCCCAAATCCCCGCCTTGGCCCCGCCTCTTCCCCAAGCACGTGGCATTCCTCCTCCCTCCAGGCTTGCGCCGGCATTCCAGCTTCAAGCCTGGGAGGGAGGAGGAATGCCGCTCAGCTGAGGGGGAGGGGGGACTTGGCTCCCTACCTGGCCTGTGGCAGCCGGCAGGACATGCTGGCGTGGGGCGGGGACGCTACCCCCCTACAGGGCAGGGCAAGGAGCCGGCCAGGGCCCCCCCCCCCCCCCAGCCGATAAACTTTACGTGGCCACTCGCACCACCCTGAGCCGCTCTCCCCCGCCGCTGCCGGGGTCTGGAGCCCCATGCCTCTCCCGCTTGGCTGCGCTCCAGCAGCTCCTTCCCCGCGGGGCGGTGGGACGCGCCGCATGTGCCCGGGGCCTTGGGGGGGGGCAGCGCACGTGGCCGCAGCGCGGCCGGGGCCTGCTAATTCCCCCGGCACCTGCAAAACGGCTTTTTTTATTTACTTTTTTTTTTTTTGCTCTGCCCCCCGTGTCCCGATATTTCATGTCAGTGATCTGGTCACCCTAATCACATTGTTGGCTTATAATCAGTTTGTGAACCACTATAACCCCCAGAGCCTTTTTTCAGTACAACCGCCTAGACCATTTCTCCCCATGTTGTAGTTGTGCATTTGATTTTTCCTTTCTAAGTGAAGTATTTTGCACTTGTCTTTATTGAATTACTTCTGGTTGAATTCAGATCAATTCTCCAATTTGTCACGGTCATTTTTGAATTTTAAACTTGCCTTCCAAAGTGCTTGTAACCCCTCCCAGCTTGGTGTCACCTGCAAATGTTATAAGTATATTCTCCATTCCATTATCCAATTCATTAATGAAAATATTGAATAATAGTGGACCCAGGCCTGACCGCTGCGGAACCCCACTAGATCCATCCTCCCAAGTTGACAGTAAACCATTGATAACTACTCTTTGATTCCAGTATTGTAACTTGTTTCGCACCCACTTTATAGTATATTCATCTAGACCACATTTCCCTAGTTTGCCTATGAGAATGTCATGCAGAATTATGTCAAAAGCCTTACTAACATCAAGGTATATCATGTCTACTGCTTCTCCCACGCACTACGTCAGTAATCCTCTCAAAGAAGGGAATTAAGTTGGTCTGGCATGATTTGTTCTTGACAGATCCGTGCTGACTATTCCTTATAACCCTGTTATCCTCAAGGTGCTTACCGACTGATTGTTTAATAATTTGCTTCAGTATCTTTCTAAGTATTGAAGTTAGGCTGACTGGTATATAGTTCCCTGGGTCCTCCTTGATCCCCTTTTAAAGATGGGTGCTGCTTGTGCCCTTCTCCAGTCTCCTGGGACCTCTCCCATCCTCCAGGAATTCTCAAAGATAATTGCGAATGGCTCTGAGATTGCTTCAGCTCGTTCCTTAAATTCCCTGGGATGAATTTCATCAGACCCTGCTGACTTGAATAGATCTAACTTATCTAAACATTCTTTAACCTGTTCTTTCCCTATTTGGGCTTGTGTTCCTTTCCTCTGGTTGTCAGTATTCATTTTATTGAGTGTCTAATTATCATTCATCTTTTCAGTGAAGACTGAAGCAAAATAGGCATTAAGTAACTCAGCTTTCTTGAAAAAAGAACAGGAGTACTTGTGGCACCTTAGAGACTAACAAATTTATTAGAACATAAGCTTTCGTGGGCTACAGCCCACTTCTTCGGATGCATA